CCGCTGAGGCCGGCCGGCCCGACCCGGGGCTCCGGGCTTAGATCGCTGCGCTCCGCCGCCCCCGCCGCCGTCCGGGCGGGATCGGGCTGTGGTGCTCTGGGGGGGTGCGGGGAAAGGAATCCTGGGGATTCCTGCCCCCGCTTCGGCCCTCGGGGCCTCAGACTCAGGGAACTCGCTCATGGCTTTCTTGATGAAGAAGAAGAAGTTTAAATTCCAAACCACTTTCACCCTGGAGGAGCTGACCGCGGTCCCCTTCGTGAACGGGGTGCTCTTCTGCAAGGTCCGGCTGCTGGACGGCGGGGATTTCGTCAGCCTGTCGTCCAGGTAGGAGCCGGGGCGTCGCGCCTGCGGGGGGGGTGACGAGCACATCTGGCCGCCTGGCAAGTGTGGAAGCACCCCGTGGGGCCGGGAGAACCCAGGGGATTACGTGTGTCTGCGGCGCGTTTGCGCACGGCAGGACTGGGCCCGAGGGAGCTGGCAGCGTGCCGGGCTCCCCGGTCTGCAGGTGACCGGCCCGGTACCTGGGGGCCTGTTCTTGCGGCCTCCCCTTTCAGCGTCCCTGCAGGCTGGCATGTGGAGCCTGGCGGAGACTTGTGCCTTGAGGGGGTGAGTAGGGATGTTCCAGGCCACTTTGCGCCAGCCGGCCCCTTGGGCTGTCATAGGATTTGGAGCCTGGGCCTGCCACGGGTTCTCTGGGACTCCCAGTCATTCCCAGGTCTGGCTGGAAGGAGGTGGCTGGATCTTGGCCTACCCAGCCCCCTGGAGTGACTGTCCTCCTCTGGCTGGAGCTGGCCTGCTTTGCATTGCAAATGTCCTTGCCGGGCTGCTGCCCTCTCTGAAAGAGGCTCCGTTGAGCTTGGTTTTGTGTTCCCCGCATCCTGGCAGGTTCAGCTGCCCAGCTTATTGCTGAATGCAACTGAGTTCCCAGGCCGTCCCTCACTGGCTGGGCCCACCTAGGGTCACAGGGTCCTGGCCTGCTGTCCCACAGATGGGGCTGCGGATCCTGGTCCTGCTCCTTTCTGGGCCTTCGCTTCCTCTTCTGGAAAGTGGGCCTAACACAGGTCTCTGTGTCCGAGTTGTGCTGGAACGCGGGGCAGGGCCTGGCCCAGCGCCTGGGGCCCGCTGCTCCCCCCCGCGGTCTGCTCTTTGCTCCTCAGCCTCCTTGTGGGCCCAGTCAGCCTGAGCTGCTTCCCTGTTCTTAGAGGGGACGTGTGACCGATGGAGAAACTGAGGCCCCAAAGAGGAAGGAAGCGGCGTGCCAGGGCCTCGAAGGAGGCTGTGATTGGCTGAACGTGGTCGGTTTGGAGACCTGTGGGATGAATCTGGAGGCCGAGTGCCCTGCCGGGAGGAGGGGCAGGGAGAAGAGCTGCACTGGCTAGCCCAGATTCAGGAGTCTCGGGTGTGGACAGGGTGGGGTGTCTTTCCAGTGCCCTGGCTCCCTGTTCTGCAGGGGGCTGCTTATCTGAGGAATGCGGACAAGGGCTGCCCCTTGTGGCGGGGGCGGTGGCCGTCCTTGGTTGCCTGGGAGGCCTGTGACCTGCGGCCACCCACAGAGGCCTGAGGCTTGGGAGAGATGGCTGTGCTCAGAGCTGGGGCCTGGAGCCGGCCCCTCCCTGGCTGGTGACACGGGGCGAGTTACCTGAGCTCTCTGATGGCGCGATGTGGCCGCCACGCTCCCGTTCTACCAGCCCCTCTCACTCACCGTGACCCTTGACTGTGCTACGGTGCAGGAGGGCAAGTGGGGTCCCCAGGGTCAGTCCCCATTTTGCAGAGCTGGAAACGGAGGTTCAGAGAGGGAGTGATCTGCCCGAGTTAGTGTAGTGGAGCCCAAATTCAAGCTCAGGATGTGCTTTTCTCTTTCATTTTTGGTTTTTATTTTGAGTAGGGATTTCACTCTGTTGCTCAGGCTGGAGTGCAGTGGCACAATCACGGCTCCCTGCAGGCTCAGGCGCAGGCAATCCTACCACTTTAGCCTCCTGAGTCGCTGGGACTGCAGGCCTGTGCCGCCGCGCCTGGCCAATTTTTGATTTTTTTTGTAGAGACAGGGTCTCCCTGTGTGGCCCAGGCTGGTCTCAAACTCCTGGGCTCAAGCAGTCCTCCCGCCTCTGTCTCCCTGAGTGCTGGGGTCACTGGCATGAGCCGCCACACCTGTCCAGGATGTGCCTTTAACCACCACCTTCCACCACCTTCTTGTGTTCCTGAGCCTCGGTTTTCTCTTCCGTGAAGTGGGGAAGTCACACCTGCCTGGAGGGTCGTGAGGGGAAAGCCCCAGGGTGTGTCTGTGTCTGGTGTAGGTAGGTTGCTGCAGTCGCTGTGGTTACTGTGGGCAGAGGGGCCCAGGCCCCAGCCCCTCCCAGGTCTCACCACCTGTATTGACTCAGCAGGGGGGCCGGCATTTGAGTTGGCGTGGGGACAGGGTCTTGGGTCTCACCGAGGAATTGATACTGAGCCTCAGGCTGAGATCTTGCATGATCTCCCGACTCTGGAGCCGCTGCCACCCTGCCTGTTGGCCTTTCCATTGCCCTAAACCTGCGCCCTCGTCCGGGAAAGTCTGGAAAGTTCCAGGTCTCAGCCCACAGGGTCTGGATTTCCCCTCTGTTTTCCCTTCTTCCCCCTGGCAAGGAGCCTTGGTTTCCCTGAACCCAGCTGAGCCCAGGTAATCTTTCCCAGCTCTCGGCCCCTGGATGGAACCTGAGTGGGGCTGAGGAGAAAGGCAGTGGCATTGAGCCACCCCAGAGCTGGGCACTTAGTGGCTGCTGGAGACCTGCTTGCAGATGCAGCTGGAGAGAGCAGACGGTGACATTGGAGCCGGAAGCCGCTGGAGAGCCGCTTTGGCTTTTGCTGGATTTTCGCCCAGCACATGGAGGTTCCTGGGTCCCTGCTTCCTCCATCCCCACCTCACCCACCCTGGTCTGCAACCTGGATGCCCTGGCTGACAGCCTGCCCCTCCATGCAGCCAAGGCGCCATTGCTTTTAATTTGGGAGGGGGTCTGGGGAGACTAGACCTGGTTAGATCCTAGGCCCAGATCCAGTAGCATGTTCCCCTATTCCCAAGACCCCTGAGATGACCCAGAGACCTGGCGGTGTCAGCAGGAAGCAGACCAAGGCCCCACCTCTGCAGCACCGCCCTCCTAGCTGGAGTGTTTCCCTGTGTTTTGGGTGCCTTGGCAACAGCTGGTACAAAGCTCGCCTGACCTAATTTGAGCAGGTAGAACAGGTGGTTTGTCGGGCTGTTCCTCAGCTCCTCTCTTGGAGCCTCCTTGAGAACAGCCCTCATAGTGGCCATGTTCTGGGGGCCCGTGCTGTGTGCCAGGTACAGTGCTGAGTGTTTTGCAAGTGGTATTTCTTTTTTTTTTTTTTTGAGCTGGAGTCTCTGTTGCCCAGACTCCCGGCCACTGCAGCCTCAGCTTGCTGGGCTCCAGCGATCCTTCCGCCTCAGCCTTCCAAGTAGCTGAAACTACAGGTGTGTGCTACCACACCAGGCTAATTTTTTGATTTATTGTAGAGATGAGGTCTCACCAAGTTGCCCAGGCGGGTCTCGAACCTGTGGGCTCAGGCAGTCCACTCACCTCAGCCTCCCAAGGCGCGGGATTACAGGCTGAACCACCGAGTCCGGCTTGCAAGTGGTATTTCTATCGATCCTCTCCACTGTCCAGAGAAGCACTGAGGACAGAGAGGTGAAGCCATGTGCCAGAGGTCTCCCAGTGGTAGACGACAATTTGGAATTTTTTTTTTGAGTCGGGGTCTCATTCTGTTGCCTAGGCTGGAGTGCAGTGGCAGGATCACGATAATCACAGCTCATTGCAGCCTTGCCCTCCTGGGCGCAGGCGATCCTTCCGCCTCAGCCTCCCAAGTAGCGGGGACTACAGGCACGTGCCACCATGTGACAGTTGGGAAGTTGATGCCTGTATTATGGGTCAAACCACCTTTGATGGTACACTTATTGTATGCCAGGGACTTGCTGAACATCCAGTCCCTGCCACCCCCCATGGACTGATGGCATTACCCCACTCCCAGATGAGGAAATGGGGTCAGGACCCTGCAGTGACTGGGCTGTGCTGCTCCGCAGGGAGTAGCAGAGATGTGTTTTTAATTTGAGCAGGTTCAACTCCAGAGCCCTATCCCGCCTCGATGGCGATGGGTTGCACCCTGTGACATCCCCAGGCGTCTGTAAAAAGTTCCTTTCAGTGGATCAGGTGGGGCGAGAAAGTCCAGAGCTGGGTAATTAGGAGATACCCTGCCAGGTCTTGTGGGGTCCAAGGAAAAGAGTCCCAGGACCATAAGGCAGGGCTGAAGTCACTGTCAGGGACTTGGGGCTGGGCCAGGCTGGCACCGTGGCACAGTGAGCATTTGCCGAGGTCTCTGCCCAGAGGCCTCCCTGTGGGCGTATCCACATGGCATCTGGAAGGGTTTCCCCTGGGGTTCCGAGAGGGATGCAGAGGTCCCAGCCAAATCTCGCAAGTCAGGAAGCAGCCAGGCTGTCCAAGGCAGCCCTCAGGCAGGAAGAATCCCGAACACCCCAGGAGGTCTCTGCTCGCAGCTGGCACCGTTCCTGTGACCTGCCCATGCACATGGCTGGTGGTGCCAGGAGAGGGAGTGCGAGGGAGACCCTGACTTACCCCACTGCATGGGCTCTCTTGCTGTGTTGTTGACAGAGAGCATTTCCTCAGCCGACACAGGGGGCAACTGAGCCCAGCACAGAGGAATGACTGGCAAGGCCACTTCTGAGGAGGCGCTAATGGCATAGCGGGGCGGACTCTGGGCTGCCCTTAACCTCTGTCCTCTGTGTCTTAGTGCCCCTCTTTGCACGAGGGAGGCAGGCGGGGCCAGAAGGAGAGGGAGTGCCTCTGGGGTCTCCTGATCAGTCCTGCCAGGCTTCTGAGAGGCAGGCTGTGACCCAAGAGGCTCCACCCCCAGCCTTCCTTTTTTTTTTTTGAGCTGGAGTCTCACTCTGCCACCCAGGCCGAAGGGCAGTGGCATGCTCACAGCCACCCCAATGTCGACCTGCTAAGCGCCGGTGATCGTTCTGCCGCAGCCTTCCGAGTAGCTGAAACCGTAGTCATATGTCACCACAACAGGCTAATTTTTTATTTATTGTAGAGACGAAGTCTCACCAGGTTGCCTGAGCTGGTCTTGAACCCATGGGCTCAGGCAGTCCACTTGCCTCGGCCTCCCAGAGTGCTGGGATGACAGGCTGAGCCACTGAGCCTGGCCCAGCCTTCCTTTTGTGGCAGCCATGGATCCTCAGGTGACTTTGGTGGGATTTTTGTCTGGGGAGCCGTTGAAAGAGCACGTGACTGCTCGCTACACAGGCACTGCCTACC